CATCGAAAGGTCCGCCGCGAATGCATGTGCAATTGACTCCTTGGCCTGCTCAGGCTGATCCCAATCGTCGGTGTGATGGCTGGCCCCCATTTTTGTTCCAATGCGTGCTCCCACGCTTCCCTGATCAAAGCGCCACCACGGCGGGGGGGCAGGAGAAGCCGCCGCCGGGGCGGTACAGGAGTAGCAGAGGCGGGGAACCAGCGAAAGAAGGTCGCAGCCCTGCTCTGGAGGCGGCGAGACCCCAGCCAGGGTTAATAGCCGACCCTGGGGGGGGCGACATGGGGGAGGACCGGGCGTCCGTCAACCCCGTTCGAGCAGAGGCAGTCGCCCAGGGACACCCCGAACTGGAAAGGGGCAAGCAGGCGAGCCTCAGGGGCGCCCTGGGTGGCCGCGAGGAGAGGAAGGCCTGCAGCCCAGCGTCCAGGGTCGGGGGGGGGGGTCCCAGCGACCTCATGCGGTTCTCCACACGCTTTCAACAACAAGACGATGTCGCACGTCAGTCGTCATTGAGGCAAGCTTCGCTGCAACCCTGCCAGGGCATCAGGAACCGTTCGCCCTGCATCGCCCGCAAAACAGGGGAGAAGTCACAGGAAACCGAGCAGGATGAGACGGACACGCGGGGGATGCCACACAGGTGGGGGACGAGCACGGAGGGCGAGCCTCCTCCTCCTCCTCCTCCTCCTCCTCCTCCTCCTCCTCCTCCTCCTCGTAAGGGGGGGCAGAGGAGCGCCCTAGCCGCGTCGACTTCTCCGCCCTGGCGCCTGCTGGAACAGCGGGGTCTTCAGATCCCGCCCGGCCAGGATCGCCTGGGACGACGACGACGACGAAGCCGACGAGGTCGAGGACGAGGGCGACGACGACGACGATGCTGCAAGCAGCGGGGCTCTGGCTGACCTCCGTTTGCATTGACCCCCGTCTAAGCCCCGAGCTTTGCGTGTCGCGAAGGCGGCCCCGGCGACACGCTATGCCCTGCGAGCGGATGGCGCGTCGCTCCGCTCCGCCAGGCGGGAGACCGGGAAGTACCCAGGACGCCGCTGCTGGAGGACAGGGGGGTGGATAGCGTGTCGCGCCGAAGCGCGGCGGACCAGAAGCGGCGGAGTGACGCGCTGTCCAACAGTTCCCGATCGTATGGGAGCACTACCCTTCTGTCGGGCGTGTCCCCCTACAGGGGGATTTCTAACGACAAGTTAAACAAATACACCAAACATACACCCCAAAGGTAAACAAATACTCAAAGATAATCCCCAGACTATTTTTGGATTGTTTTAACACTATTTTTGGGGTATCTTTCTTTTTTCGTCGAAGACGACGACGACGACGACGACGACGACGACGACGACGACGACGACGACGACGACGACGACGACGACGACGACGACGACGACGACGGCGAGGGCGGGAGGGACCTCCGCCCTGCCAGCGACGTGGGCAGGACAGCGTATGCCTGGCCATCGCTCGGACGTCTGCGCAGGAGGGCGATCCCGGACTCCCTCGCGCCGTGAGCAAAACGAGCATCGCTCGGACGTCTGTGTACGTAGGAGGACTGTCGCAGACTCCCTCGCGGGGTGAAACACACGACGGGCGCTTCTTGCTTTTTTCTGCCTCGGAGGGCCTTCGCCGGGCCCCCGAGCGGTCGAGACACGGCTCGGGATAGAGAAGCCGGTTTCAGGGAAAGGGTCGAGACGTCGGGGGGGGGGGTCCACGTCTGCCCCCCTCTACGCTACTCTACGCTGCGCTACTCTATGCGGTGGCGTCCCTTCCCTGTGCATGTTTCGATTATGTGAGGTTTTTTTTTGGAGGGTGCCCCCCAACTGCTCCTCAATGGTCCTCGCCGAGAACAGCTGCGCGCGTCTGAACGATGCCCAGATGCCCCCTCCTCTTCCATCTTCCTCCTCTTCCACCCTCCTGCTGCTCCTCCTCCGCCTCGTTCGCGTCCCTCTCGGGACTCGTGTTGGCATGACTGGGCCGTCATGAGGATGACGCGACCCACCGCTCGTCAGAAAGCGTCGGCGAAGCCGACTTCTGGCGCACTCGAGTCTTACGTTTCTCCGACCTTTGTCCTCCTCTGCCTCCTCCCCTCCTGCTCATCCTGCTCATCTGCTTCCCCCTTCTCCCTCGTTCTTCCTCCTCTCCCTCGTGAGCGTCCTCTTCCGCCTTTGCTTCCTCCGCCTCCTCCTCCTCCTCCTCCTCCTCTCCCTCCCCCGCTCCCTGAGGAAGGGGGGGGGGCGGGAGGAGAGCCGCATCTGTAGTATGAGGTTCCCCTCTTCTTCCTCTTTCTCTTTCTCTTTTTCCTCCTCCTCTTCCTCCTCCTTCAAGTAGGTCTCTCAGCGCGACTGCCGCCAGCCTGCCTTGGTCACCGCCATGCCTGCGAAGTCCGGGGCCTTGAGGATCTCGAGTTGGCTGTCCTACGGCTGCACGTCCCCTCCCTTCGCCTGCTCCCCCCCTCATGATCCTCCTCCTGATCACCCTGCCTCTTCTTCACTATTTCTTGCCATCGCCCCTCCTCGTCCTCCTCCCCTCCCCCTCATTCCCTATCCTCCCCTTCCTTCCCCGTCCCCTCATTCCTTCACCTCCTCCTTCCTCCTTCCTCCTCCTCCTTCCTCCTCCTCCTCCTCCTCCTCCTCCTCCTCCTCCTCCTCCTCCTCTTCTTATCCTCCTTCTCCTTGTCGGCTCTCCCTCCTGCTCCTGCTCCTCGTCCTCCTCCTGGGTCACCTGGTGCTCTGCGTCCTCTTGCTGGTCGTCCTCCTCCTCCTCCTTCCTCCTCCTCCTCCTCCTCCTCCTCCTCCTCCTCCTCCTCGCCCTTCTGGTTCTCTTCTCATCCCGCTCCTCCTTCCCCCCCCTCCTCCCTGCTCCCTGCTGCTGCTCCTCCTCCTTCTTCCGCGTTCCCTCATTTGAGCAGGGACCGACCGTCCCGGCATTCCTATAGTCATACCGCGAAATGTTCTTAGAACCCAAAAGTGTTCGAAGAACAAAACAATGTCCTTATAACATAAACCCGATGTATCAAAACAAGACAGTCCCAGCCAGAAATGTTCTAAGAACATTTCGTGGGAACCACAAAAGGTTCTTAGAACATTGTTTGGTGGGGCTATAGGCGAGCCGGGACGCTTCGCCACTGCTTGACTCATTCTTCTCCCCCTGGCCCTCCTCCCGCGGCTGATCTTCGAGAAAACGCTCTCCATTGGACGCCTGTTCGGACGATCCCCCTCCCCCGGACACGCTGGGGACACGTCGGAACCTGTCCGGGGGGTGCGGGAACCAGGCCTCCCCCATTCTTACTAGAATCCAACTGTCGTGTTCGATCGATATCCCATAGGACCCTGATACAGCTGGATCCGGCTTTACTCGTATCCTAGTCGGGCTCGATCCAACTCTGCTACAACCCACTTCATAGCTGCATCCATCTCCCATGGAATCCCAGTCGGGCTCGATCCAGCTCTAATAATGTCCTACTATAACCCGGCCGAGCTGCAATAGCATCCTAGTCGGCCTCGATTCAGCTTCCACAGGCTCCTACTATAGCTGGATCCAGATCTAACTCACATAGAATCCTACTATAGCTAGATGCAGCTCTAATTGAATCCTGGCAGGGCTCCCAGCTCTCATAGAAACTTACTAGGGCTCTACCCAGCCTCAAGAACATCCTACTAAGGCTCGATCGTGGCCGTCGTTGCCCCGATTGCGCCAGCGCCGGCACCAGCGCTCGCCGACGTCGGTTGCCTCTGGGCCCCCCCGCCCCCCGTTTTGAACCCCCTCCCCCCTTGACGGGGAGGGGGGTGGGGGGCGGTTCAGCGCCCCCCTCTTGCAATTCAAGGCCCCCCCCCTTCCCCCCTCTCCTCCTCCCTCCTCCTCCCCTCCTCCTCTCCTCCTCCTCCTCCTCCTCCTCCTCCTCCTCCTCCTCCTCCTCCTCCCTCTACTCCCCCTCCTCTTCCCTGGTTCGACCCACGCCCCCCCCCCTTCTCAGCGTCGCCAGAGCGCGCTCTTTCTAGTCTTCCTACTGGTCCTCCTGCGCTCCCCTCCTCCCTCCCGCTCGCTGGCTGTCCATAGGCTCGCCCTTCTTAGTCGTCAGCACGCCCGGGAGCAGGCTGTCCTGGGCCGACCAATGTGGCAGGTGCCCCCCCTCCACCCTTTTCCGTAGCGGCGAGGGGGGGGGGAGGTGAGAGAGATGAGGTGGGAAAAATGAGGAGGGGGACGAGCAGAGAGCATGGATGAGGGGAGAGTAGTAAGGGAGGGGGGGAGGGAGGAAGTAGGAGGAGACATCAGGGATGAGCGAGGAGGGAGGGAAGCAGGGATGAGGAGGAACGATCAGGGATGAGCGAGGGGATCGCTCAAGGAGGATGGGGGGAGGGAAGAAGAGGAACTATGGGGAGAAAGGGTCTTCCCGCTCCGCCATTGTTCCATCACCCCTTCGAGTCCACTTCCCCCCCTTTCCCCCCGTCCTCTCTCCTATCCTTCCCGCCCGACCCTCCTCCATCCCCGCCCTCTCATGCACCCCCTTCCCTGGCTGGCTCGGTTGGCCAGTAGGTCCTGCTGCTCCTCGCTCTCCTGCATCAGCCGCGACTGCTGCTTGTTCAGATCCTTCACCAATCCCGTCACGCTGCCCATCGCCTCCTCCAACTGCTCGAGTGACTTCCTGTTAGCGGGCGGACCATGCCCATGTCTGAAAGATGCGGGCTGGCGGGTAGGTGAACATAGCTGCGACCCAACAACTCGTTCGTTTCATGGGCAGTATGCCATGCAGCAGGGAGTGTGAGGACGCGGAGGAAGAAGATCAACAATACGGGGGAGGCCCAGAACGGGGACGGAGGAGGAGGAGGAGGATAAGGAGGAGGAGGATAAGGAAGAATATGCGGAGGAGGGAGGCACAGCGGACTTCAGTATCGGAGAGCGGTACAACTTATCCTAAATACGATAACTATACTTTTCAATGTAGGGCACACAGCAAACTCCTTCTCCTTCTCTACCCTCCACCACGAGGTGGTCACCGACCTAACACAAAC